TTGATCGCATTAAATGAAGCAAAGATAAAAGAGAATTTGTCCCATCTACAAGCCAAATGCAAGCTAAAAGATAACATATAGCAGAACAAGATACCCTTAAGAGGAAAGACACAAAGCTAGAACATAACAAAAGACGGTAGGGAAATGTTAAGCCACAACCTACAGCAAATGTACTTAGTCATAATGTCTGACAATAATACCAAGAAATGAAAATTGGGGCACTTAGCCACAACCCACCTAGTATGGGCCCTGATGGCTTAATAATGCAGAAAATAAATGCCATAAAGGTGAGCTTGTCTTCTTTGTTCGCTTCTTCATCAGGTTCAAGTATCCCACATTTGATGGCAATATCTCTTGCAGTGAAAATATTGTCTCCAATGACCATCTTGATGTTCACTCCAGCATCTCTACAAGCTTTTTACAACTGTTTTCACCTCTGGTCGACAAGGGCCCTTCATGCCCACTAGGCCCAACAAGGTGGTGATTCAAATCTTTACATCTTCAAAATATTTTTGGGATTTATTTTAAGCCAAGTTCAATTAATAGATATTGTGTAAAGGATGACTTTCTAAACTTGACTGTGAAGTCTCATGGCTCGATGTTCTGGAAAGGTTTGTGCAAGGTTAAGGGGATCCTGAGAGTGGGTTGCTGTTTACGAGTAGGCAATGGAAGGAAGATTCACATATGGAAAGACCCATGGTGTAAGATCCAAGAAGAATCAATGGAGCACCTCTTTTGGCTCTACTCAATTTCAAGAACTATTTTTTTTGGAGTACTTCTAGGCTGAAGATCTGAAAGTGTTCAATCTTGGACTAGATCCATGAACTAATCCGAACGTGTAACATTTTAGATGAATGAAGATGGTTTCAATCTATTATAGATATAGTGTATCTACTTGTGGTCGATTTGGTCTACTTGTAATAATGCCCTTTTCAATGGTGCAAATGCATCACCTTGAGCTATCATTCACCGAATTAAGTCTCTGGTGGATAAGATGACTAGTTGGATGAAACTTGTGGCACAGTTACCTGTTAATGAGATCATAACCCCCCTTATCTTCGATCACGATCTATTTCGATGGGGCATGCAAAGATGGACAGGGGCTACAACCTGTGTTTAGGTTGATACTTGATACTTAGGCTGTGTTTGGTTTGAAGGAAAAAGTAGGGAAAGGAAGGGAAACCTTTACAAAACTTGTATAGGTTTCCCTACCTTTCCCTACTTTTTCCCTCAAATCAAACATAGCCTTAAGAAAACTTTCTCAGAGCAAGATCAACGACTATGGTTGAGCAAATCCAGAAGGCTCAGAACTACACAACTTGCTTTAGACGGTGGAACTTGTTTCTTAGTTTGCGGAGGATAGAATTATTATCAAAGGGAACTATCTAGCTGCAATAGTCAATATGAATGACGAGAAGATGATCCCTCTGTGGAGGTGGAGCCATTTGGGTGATGTTTGGTATCGATGATGATTCCTCCTTAATTATCCAGAAGTCATGATTTCTAGAATTGGTGATTTTTTTAAATTACCAAAAATTGTTGTTTGGTATCATTTATGCCATGTAAGCAATTTGTTTGGTACCAAAAGGTGATTATTTTTTCTTGGAATCATCCTTTTTTTGGAGACATGTTGGATGCCATGTCATCCTCCAAAAATATAATCACCTAAAAATTGGGGACTCATCAAATAGGCCCACACTCTAGCTATGTGGAAACTTCGTTATAATTCATTTGATGATTGGGTGCGTGTTGGCCACTTGGCCCAAACTATATTAGACATTTTTACATTCCTAAATAAATCTGAAGTTCGTAGTGAAAAAGTGTAAATTACAAAGAGCTCCTATGGGGTCAGTGACAAAGACCCCTTATACTTTAATTTGTAATAAAGACCCCCTAAACTTTTATGTTGCAACAAATACCCCCTCAATTGTTAAGTCAGATGGAAGAAAGCGTTAAATTATCAAAATACCCCAATAAACTTTCTCTATTTTCTTTTTCTTGCCCATTTCCTCTTAAAACCCAATCGACCCAAAAATACCTCTATTGCTTCTCACTAGGAAATACTTCAGTTATCCCATTAGTGATCATCACCAAAAAAGGAAGAAGTCTTCGGTAAGTTAATTTAAAAAGGGATACTTATATATATATATATATTATAATTAAGTGATTTAACTTTACTAATTCTGATGGGAAATACATCAAAGTGTCATATAATATGAAAGGGAAATGAGTGGAATTTGCAACAACGATTGCAATTTGACAGACCTTTCTAAGGCCTATGATAGATTAGAATGGGGTTTTTTTATTAAAGTACTCCAACTTAGAGGTTTTTCGGACCAACTTTGCGATCTTGTTGTCTGCTGTATGTCTCTAGTGTCCTCTATTCTAGTTAATTGTCATACTTCAACCTCTTTTATTCCACATAGAGGACCAAGGCAAGGATGCCCATTATCCCATATCTCTTTATTTTGGCCATAGATGTTATATCACATAAGCTTCATAGTAAGTTAGATGCTCATGATCTCTATGGGATCCGTTTCAGGAATGATAGCTTTAAAATGAATCATTTGTTCACCAATGATACTCTCCTTTTTGGCTATGGTGATACTTGTGAAATTTCTTAATCATTGTATATTCTCACAAATTTGTCTTATGGTCCGGACAGATGGTTAACTTTGAAAAGTCTTTCATCCTATTCAGTAACAATACTTACAACGTATCCTAGGTTTATTAAATGTACATTTGATGCCACCACATGAAAAATACCTTGGCTGCTATCTACAAGAATCCCAAGGCCTCAAGGCTGAATGTGAATTATTGATAGATAAAATTAAAAACCGCCTTTTGGGGTGAAAAGGTAGATACCTCTCATGCAGGAAGAACAGTCACGTTGAAGAGCATAGTTTCAACAATTCCCAATTACCTTAAGTCTATAAGACTATGTTCTTCTAAATGTTGCAAAGAGATCAGTTCAATGGGAAAGCGATTTTTGGTGGGGTGCCCAGGATAACAAAAAGTATATACATGCGAATGGAGACCGAATTGGCCCCCAACAACGTGTCACAGTACATTCTTGTCGTGTATTTAAAACATTTCCCGAAGATAATACCAGGAATGATGATGTTATCATCGGGAGATGTTCTTAATACACGGCAGGGATGTGCCATAGGACATTGTGGGGGGCTGATTTGAACTCCATTGAATGGCCCATGACCATCCATGGGAATCTCGTGAGCACCTTCAAACTTCAAACATCGTCTTTATAATTTATACATAGAACCAAAATGAAAAAATAACAGAGAACAAAAAAGAATCAAACCGGAGAAAATATAAATATGCTGAGACGAAAGATGAAGTTAAAATTCTTGCGAAATAGGCAAGTGGGTTCCAAAGGAAGAGCAGTAGTTATGCTTACTTAGGAGTGAATATAATCACCTACCCAATCTCCTCTTTGTCAGCTCCTGCAGCCTCCTTTAAGATGGAAGAAGCCTGGAACAAGTTGTAGTCACACTTCGTTTTTTAATTGGGATTTCATTACAATCCTCTTCCTTATCGCAGGATTGTGGTTGCAGTACAGAAGGTTAATAATTGAAAGTATGTAAAACCAATCTCAGTTCTTGGAGGAGCAATTGAACCATGCTACCTCAGCTATATAAACTCTCTTAGGAAAGTCTAATGTAGGCGAAGGCTTCGTGGGTGAAGATGTCATGGGCATCATCTTCTTCCACTGTTCAGTATGGAAGCAAACGTTCTCCATCATCCAAGAATGGAGAATGAGAAATTTGTGCTTTAGGTTGCATTTGGTTGCAATGCAAATAAAATTGCACTGGTGTAAAATTATGGTAGTGCAAATGATTTGGATGTAAAGTCTGATTTAATTTTGTTTCAAAATTTATCTTATTTTTGTTTAATTGCAGTACAAATGAAGTAAAATAAGATTTGAAGCAGAATAAAGAAAAACCTGAAACAAAATTAGACCAGAATTTGCATTCTTTTCATTTGCACTTTCATACATTCGCACTAATGCGAATAAAATTGGCCTTGCTACCAAGTGGAGCAGCCTTAGGCTCAGTTTGGATGGAATACAAATACAAATATATAGTGCAAAACCTTGTATTTTGCATTATTTTATATGTATTTCTATTGTACATATTTGTATTTGTACTCTAAAGGAAACACATTTATCCAAATCTAATGAAGAGAAATCTATGGGCAAGAGAGGGGGAAGAGTTAATTGAAAAAGGAAAAGTCTCTTAAAAAACAAATCGTGATTTTCTTTCATGGAAGGGGAAATGGGAAGGTAACAAAATACATTTCAACACCCTTTCAACATGATTCGATATCACACTTTTCCCTGGAATCCACCATAAAACAAAACTGGAACCTGTCATGTATGAGATATGCGCTATCGAATTATGTTGAAAAGGTATTGGAACGCAATTTGTTGCCAAGAGATCCAAACTTGGGACAAAACCTTGCTGATGTGGCCTAAGGAGAAAGTTGGAGAGAGTCCAGATTTATTCCTCACAACCGCATACTGAGACCATCTCCTGTACATAGTGGCCAACGTCTAGCCTGCACAGGGGACTTTTCTTTTGAGCTTACAGTGGGGCCATATGGGCCAATTGGACTCTCCCATTGATACGGTGTCACAGCTACATTGATAAATTAAGGTTAATTAAAATGGGTTATTTTACCCGGTTATTATTTTCTTCTCCCTTCAACATAATCCATCTATTTGATAATAAGTTTTACTCGGTTATTATAAGTTTTGCAATTATAAACACTAAATCACAGCCATGATCTTACAATATTTTTACATAATTGAAATTTTAATTTCTACTTATGAACTAAGAACACTATATAGAATTAAAATTATTCAGAAATTTGGAGGGAATAAGCCATCTAAGATAGAGGTGGTAATGGGTAGGAATCTGAATCTGTTGGCCATTAACAGGTTTGGTGAGCAAAGCCATTCAGATCAGTTGATATGAAACGTGTTTAGGACTATGAATCTGTTCTGTTCCTTTGGATTCTGGTTACCAACTCAATCTCGTTAACTATTTCAGTCACAGAGTGGATCTTCAGGCATTAAATTATAATGACATTGGTCTTTTATAGAAACCACTCGGTTCACATATATGAATGTAGAATGGAAAATGTTCATCATTAACGATCATCCATGAAGAACAAAGGAGATGTGAAGCTGTAGAAAAAGGAAAATCAGAATCTCATCGCTATGATCTGTTCTTAATTGCTCCGGGTCTATTCTTCAAGCCCAAACTGCCAAATGGGGGGAATGCCTCCTTTCCCGAGTGAAAGGGGCTGCAGTTTGTCTCATTTATAACCCTGGATATATACTCAGGGAGCTGTATATTATGTTGTTCTTGATGGGAATGTTGATCTTGCTGAACAGATGAGTTTGTGAGAGGTGCATATACAAGAGGCTGGAGGTCTTCCAACTCTGGGTCTGGGAAGTAGTTGTCTGGTACTTTGCTATCATCCATCTTCCTAAAAGTGATGGAAATTCTGCAGAGAACAAGTAGTAAGATATAAGAGGATTATGCCATATAGAGGTTGCATGAAAGAAAAGTCTGAACTCTCTTTTGTTGTAAAACAGAAAAAAAGAAAGCTACCTTTTTGTGGGGACAGCAGGAACACAGTGTTTAGCAATGTCTGCTCCATTCCCATTCATGATGAATACAGACCTGCAAAGAATATGTAAAGCCATCGAACTAAATTTTCTGTTCTCCAACTCCTATCAGGTGCATCAACAACTGAAATGCAAGGATACCGAATTCAGGGAGAAGCAGGATTATAACATACCCAACAGGCAGAGGTATTGAAACAGGACCAGAGAATTCTCCTGGGCCCTCAACCTTCAAGCTTGAACCAAATAAGATATTGCACTCACTCAAGAATGAGATTACACAGAAGGGACGCAGAAAATCATGGTGATCAATATGAGGAGGAATGCAGTCTCCTTCATCATAGATGTTTACGATGCAGCTATTGGGCACACATGTTGGGGGCAGGACATGCCACCTAACTAGCCTCTTGATGATTGTCTTGAACATGGGAGGAATGGGATCAACCTCTTCATCTCGTAGTATACCTGGTGGGTTCTCATTTTTATCCTGATTAAAGGAGATTTACAGTAAGGAGATGCTTCAGAGTAATCTAAAGAAAAAGAGAATAACAAGACTTAACAGTAGTACAGAAATCTAAGCAAAAACATGTAAGATCTGCGACTAGAATTGATGAGCCTGAACCTACCACCGCATAATTGTAACAACATCCGAATTGAATTGTGACACGACCTTTACCTCGCATCCATTTTCTTGGTTCTGAGTATGTACGTGCTGTAAGTTTTCCAATAAGAAGTAAAAACAGAATGAGTCGAAATTTGTTGCTTGATTTCATGTAGAAGAGCCAATGAAAATATTGAAATTTCAAATAAAATGGATGGGTTGGTTCATTTTAAATTGGAACTCAGAGCAAAAGAGAAAGAATCAGAGAGCATTATATATCTGTACCTTTAAGTTGCCCCTTCCGTCCTATGTCCTGTAGGCTGTAGACATAATCAACAATCTTCTTCTGCTCCACAGCACTAAAAACTCGAGTGTGAAGCTCAAGCCCTTGAAGTATATTTACAGATTTTCCACGAATCTTCTCAATATAAACAAACTCCTTCTTTCTGCCAACTTGTGACAGCCTTATCCGTTCTCTCTGCTCCCTCGATAAACTAGGACCCTTCTGTATCACCTCATCACCTTCCACTGCATTGTCAACCATGACCAAGGCTTCACCTGATTCTTCATCATCCCATGTTACTTCGCAACCCGGGTGATCAAATGAATATTGTTGTCTGTGGCTGCTTTCCTGCACAGGCGAGAAATCAGTGACATGCGCATGGCACCTCGCAGAAGAGGGAGATTCCTCACTTGGGTCTGAGCTTTCATGATGGTTAGAGTGAGACACCTGAATTGGAGATACAGAGTTGATATCCGGAAAGTACAAGTTTGATGAATCCTCACGACCAAATGCTATCGAACTCTCAGAATCGCCACAGTCGGGCAAGGAGATCTCATCTACTCTTCCTACAAATTTCAAAAGGGTTGCATCAAAGTTCCTTGAACTTAATCAAGTGCTCGTTTAAATATGAACACAGAACCAAACGAATCTTTCAGAAATCAGGACACGGGCCCAGAGTCACTAGACATAAATTGTCACAACCGAATTATTTCAATAAGCTAGAAAACAATCAAAAAGAAGGGATTAAGATGGACGACAGACTCATTAGCACATAGCAACAACAACTTTACTGTTAACGAAGCAGTGCAATCCCCGGAGCATATTCGGATTTGATTAAAAACAGTAAAATACTAGAAGCTTTTTGGCACACATAGAGGGTCCCAATGAGTCTATTCGCAACCATGCACGACTGAAGCTATTGTTAAAATTAAAAAGTAAAAAAAAAAAGAAGAAAACCCGTGAAACTAAATCTGTAATTCACCAACAGAATCGAAGATTACAGAAAAAAGAGAGAGAAACATCTCATCAAATAACATACGAAGGAAATCAAAGAGAGTAAAAAATTAGTTACCATTTTGAGAGAGATTCTGAATGCGGTGGTGCAACAAATCTTTGCATTGTTTGCAGAATCCATCAGACAAGAGATTGACGATCTCCTTTCGCCCAAGTTGCTGAAGAATTAGGAGAACAGAGTCGCCGACGGAGTCGAGTATATTACCAGAAAAATCATGGGTGGTCATTGTCTCCAACCAAGTTTCGCAAGGGCAATCTCGATCTTTCTTTCTCTTTCTGATATAAAAGAAGAACTCCTGAGAGAAACAGACAAATGGCTCTAAAATCCATAGAGATGCTCTGAGAGGGAGGCAAAAATCAGAGAAAAGCGATTGATTTTTTCACAAACCAGGGGCGAAGCTCTAACGGTTTTTGATGTAGAAGGTGGTAGAATTTAGTGAAACAACGGCGTATGACCTCGTTTAATCTGGATTGGTAGGACTGAAGACCGATCGTTAATTATTGTCATGGTCGTTGGATTTTAGGCCTCACCAAACGCGCCTCACCCTCACACCGACCTCCACATCCCACGTTTGTATTGGAAACATCTCCCCCATAAATAATGAAAATAAATACTCGTGATGTCCTCGATGTTGATGTAACATGTCGTAAGTAAGGATTAAAGTAGTATATGGATACGGATTCGGATTATATGAATATATTAGGGAAATATATAAAAATTTTATAATATATTAATAATATTAAATTTTAAGTTAAATAACCATAAATAATATATAAATACGTAAAAATGTATATTTTAATAATATATAAAAAATATATTATAATTAATATAATATGATGCATAAATATCATATAATTTTATTGATAACATATCAATCAAGAATCTAAAATGTAAAATATACTTCCTATTATATTTTAATTATTATATCAATTATTTTTTATTTTACTATTTTTACTTTATATTAACAAAGAGGTCAACCGAATATTGAATTATCTATATAAATTAAAATATCCATTAATAATTTATAAAATGTATAATCTTAACTTAAAATATATCAAATCTATTAAATTTTCTAAGATACATATCATATACAAATTCATAATTTTTAATTTTTAAAATGATTATTCTATTATTATATTTTTATTCCTATAATTTTCTAATTAAAAATATTTTTTTGGTATAAATGTAAATTAGTAGATTTGATAGATTCAAGTTAAGATTATATTCTTAAATATTTTATAAACAATGTTTTTATTTTCTAAATAATAAATATGATTTATGTAATGTAAATTAATATATATATATATATATATATATATATATATTATATCGGTCCGTATCGATGTGTATCAACCGATACAGTACGATACAGACCGATACACACCCGTATCAGCCCAATACGCACGACTAACAAGATACATTTCTAATCGTAGCGTATTCCATATCGGACACTAACGATACTGATACAATACGTCCGATACTTGGCTCTAAGATTGGTGTGAGGCATGCTCTTTAAGGAATAGATTCGAACTCGTATCAGAAATATCTCTCATAAAAAGTCATACAAATATGGAGATATTCTAAATGCACGACTATAAACAGGTTGTGGCCTTGCAGGAACGGTGTGAACAGGGTCTTGTGAGAGCCACACTTAGGATGACTCCCATTGAGTGGCTTGGGAGGGGGACGGGATTTACTGCCCACAGAGCATGGTCCACAGCCAATCCCATCCATGTATTGGGAGTACCTCCCCTTGACAAGCATGGGAGATGTTTCCATTGCATGGAGGGAATGGGCTGTGGGGCATGCTCTATGGGCAGCCGATCCGATTGCCTTGGGAGTTCAAATCAATCCCAACATGATTGCCTCCCACAATGTGCCACAGCAATCCCGCCGCCCGTGTATTGAGAATATTTCTCGATAATGACATCATCATTTATGATATTATTATAGGAGATGTTTCTAATACAGAGCAGGGATGTACTGTGAAACGTTGTGGGGGCTGATTTGATCTCCTTTCAAGCTCTATGATAAGCCCACTTAATCCTGAGTTCCCAAGTGATGTAATGGAAAGTTGATGGGCCAAGAGAATCGGACCGGCTAAAGATAGTGAGTCCTGGATTAGTTAGACCAAACCCTCTACTGGTTCATTCCGACTTCTGAGTATAAAAACGGTGTCAGAATGGGTAAAGGTTTGGGCCATGGTCGAACTGTCGAACTGGATCGGATTGAACTGGCCTCAAATGAGTAGAGCAATTCGGTCATGGTCATGCAGCTTATAGAAAATAAATGGGTATTCCAAACCCATTATAAACATCTTTAAGCTTGGGAGTTGGAGCAATGACAAAAGTAGTGAGGTTATATATCCAGTTTTTCTATTTGATTGTTTCTTCATCATCATGGGCTCATGGCTATACTTTTCAGTTTTCAACGAACTAATCTTAAATTAAACATAAAATAAAGGAAAACATATACAGCGTTTCTACAAACAATGTTGTTTAATTGAACAGATAGCACTCAACCTTAGGACCACCATGAGTTGCAAATTTGGGGAGTACATCTGTACATGGAGTTAAGGAGAAGAAAAACAAACTCTATCATAACTCTTGTAAAGCACAAAAAAATACTCAACATTTTCGACGATTGAGTTTATACATCTTGCTTCTCTCTCTCCATACACTAACCAATGAAAATTCACTAAAATACAAGATGGTTTTGATTGGTCAAAGCTTTCAAACGTGAGCTATGAATTTTAACGAATTTTCATTGGTTAGTTGTATGTCAGATTCCCCAATTTTATTATAACTAGTGGAAATATGAAACAAGATATCTGTTTTGTTTTCATAAATAAACTCTTGAATACATAAAATAAAGAAAAAATTCCCAATTAATATTTTGTACTTGGGGCCTAATGTTATTTTGGTAGCCAAACTTTAAAAATGCCACAATTCAGTGTGAGAACTTTCAAAACATGTCAATTTAATAACTAGTGTTAATAAGCCATCAGTACAAATGACATCTAGGAATGAACGATAACCACATCCATGGCGCCAATGGATCAAAACTAAAAACTGATGCAGGCAGTGTTGTCGCCGCTGACAAGCTGAATCAACGTTAAAGGCTAATTTACAAACGTGATCGAATGCAAAACGCTGATATCTTGCATGCCAACGACAAGCTTCTGCTCACTGGCTTTTCTTAGCAGAGGAACCAACCTACTGAGGACATCCTCATTCACAATGTCCATGGCAAAGTTCCTAAGCGATTTTGTGCTGAATTCGGAGCTTGCCGTCTTTCGCTGAACCTTACAGAACGTTGAAGATGCCATGGCCGGGGAAATCCTCCAGGTGAGACGTGAAGAGCTCGCCCTATGGGTAGCTGTCGAAGTTGTTTCCGATTGATTATTACCAGTCCATGTTATAAAACCTGTTCCTAGCAGGTTTAGCCAATATCAGCAATTAATGACCATTCCCCCCCAAAAGAGCAAATTAGTGAATGATATATTTTTACTGTACAGACAAAATGCCATGCTTAATACTTATTGTAGTATTTCTACCTTTCTTCTCAAGTGTCTCCATCTCTTTATCAGCATAAAAAGCAGCTCCACCCAGAGCATATCACCCTACTTTTGTAGTATTTCTATTTCTACGTCTACCCTTTCAAAATGAAGGCCGTCTCCAATGTAGGCTTCAAGGCCTACCCGTTCCTTAACGTTGCTCCAGGTGGTCTCGGCGGCAACAACATTAGCAACATCGAGTGTGGGCTGGGGAGGTTCCTTTATTAGATCCCCTACTTGTGGAAGATGAAGAGGGCGCTTAACATAGGATCTGAGAGAAGAATAAGAGCTGCCCCATCAATTGTTCATGATTTTGCACTTAATCTTTTGTTCCAAGCTGCATAGTCTGTATTCTTTATTTTCTTTCCTTTTTGTGAGCTTTTAGGTGACTCCAACTTTCTTAAACAAAAAAGACAAGGATTTGTGACTGTTCATTTTTTGTCAACATTTGGATGGTTGATAAAGAAAATTAGGTGACACTTGAAGGGCATCTGTGTCTTTTCAAATGCCACTTAATGGTTGGTTAATAGACATTAGATTGACATGTTTTGAAAGTTTGGATACTGATTACTGAATTGTCATGTTTTAAAGTTTGGGAAAGTGACGCTAGACCCAAAGTACAGGGTACTAAACTACTAATCGGGAATTTGCCCTAAAATAAAATTGCAATGAATTCTGTAGAGTAAATTCAAGACTTCATTTAATAATGAAAGCTATCTAGTCTTTACAGTGCTTTGAAACAACAACCACAATGTAACAAACAAGGTTCTAAATATCAACATGCGGCATATCGGCCTGTGTTGGTACATTATTTTTTACATTTTATTTATTTTTTTCGAAACTGGTTCAGAGGGATTGGTTTAAGGCCTGGCTACCATCTGAACCGGTGGCTGATCCAATACAACCCCTGGAGGGGCATATCAGTAAGCCATTGGCATGACACGTATCGATACTTTGAACCTTGGTAACAACTAACAAGACAAAAAGGGAAGCCCTAATCAAAATAAAGTTTGTAGAATTCAATTTCTATCATTAATAGATACCCTATCAGTAAAACTGTTGAAACTTGCTCACATTACATTGGATTAGGCACCAATTATTAATAGATACCTATTGATTTGGGAATAGATGCCCTATTTTTGTTGGTCACAATTGTCCAATTTCCACTTCTCATCATCTCCTTCCTCTTCTCTAGTTAAAAATGGCTCATGAAATAACAGTTCAAAGTTTACCAGGGACCAAAACAATGCAGAATTCATGATGCTGTGATAATTATCTATTTTTCGTGACTTGGAGTCTTTCAATTTTCTTCAGAAATAATTTAATATTTTCTTATTTTCTTTCTATTAGTTATTATTATTATTATATCTAGTTTGACATGATGCTGAGATAATCAGATAAACTACTGCAAGTTTTGCCTGTGGTTCAAGGTGATCAATTAGGTATTATCCAAAGTTAATCTCTTTAAGAGATGTTCAGATTCTGATTTTTAACCTTGTATACTTCCAAATGTCTATCAACATTTAAAACTTGAAATACAGAACTCAATTTGTAGTTGTGTTAGATAGCCAGAAAACTTAAAGGCTCACTAGTCAATAGAGCAAAGGCTTACTAAGCAATCCATAGATAGTTGTTAATTCACTATGTTTGGCTTCACTTAGAAAATAAGACTGGTAAAAATACTGGGAATAGAGATGATGAAAAACATTTTCTAGAATGAAGTTGCAAGAGTCCTGTTGCATAGAGCTCCATGACATGGCTCACTATAGATGACTTAAAGGAACAAAAATACAAATAGAAAATAATTCAAATCTTCAGCTCAATTTATTAGGTACGAGTAATCCTCTTCCCTCTCTCCTGAAGGGAAAAAAAAGTAAAAGAATGGTTGGTTAACTAAGTTCATGCATATAAAAACCTTTATCGATGCAGACATGAAAACTTGATTCCAATTATTTCGAGTAATAGATTGATCATTCAACTCATAAATGAGGATATTTAATCAAGAGAAGTTTGTTATGCCAGCAGTCCTTTGGTCTTACCCCACCTGAAAGCTATGAGATACAAAGCCACACAACCTCCAATGGTACCAAAGGTAGTTTCCCAGAACTGTTTGGGCTCACCATCAAAGAGGGCAATGTGAATATTCATGCCAAACAAACCCACAATAACAATGCCTATGTTAAGAACCATGTTTGCTGTACTGAGGATTACCCCCATCTGCAACAACTGATTCTGCTTGTCATCCAACATTATGTTCACATAGTCCTCTGTGTCATCCACATATTCTCTCATCTTGTCACGACCATAACAAACATTAAGAGAAAATATTAGTAATGAACTAAAAAATGGAGGTAGATTTGAAAAGTTAGTACTGTATATATTGAAAATATGACATTACAAAGTTCTCCAGCATGGTTGGTTATTAATGGTAGAAAGCACTACTTCTGCACTTATCTTGATGCATATCGATTTTATATCAAAGTTAATTAACAATCCGTTTTCTCTATGCTGAAACTTCTCTTTGGTCACTCATTTTCAAATCTCTACTAATATCATATCTTAAAGAAAAGAAAAAGTTCAGACAATTCTTTAGCTTTCCACTTCATAACAAAGAAAAACAAAATAAGTCAAAAAATCCTAAAGATTAAATCCCTAAGGTCATATTGTAATACACAAAATTCAATGCCTTTAATCAAGGATCAAAGTATCGGTATTGGGTATCGTATCGGACAAGTTAGCTACGGATACAAATACGGATACGCTTTGGAAACACACATGGATATGAATGAAAGATATAGAACTTCTTGGATACACTAGGGAAACACATACATAATCACATAAATTCATTAATAACACTAAATCAAAAGCCGAATTATCTATGAATAAGTTATAAACATATAAAATGCATACTTCAATAGGTTATATGAAGAGAAACATTACAATCAACAACACCATACTCTAGAACATTCAAAATCATACAATAATTGTCACTCTATTTCATTTTTTATTAATTTTTTGGGAATATTTATTAATTTAGTATATTTATATAAACAATAACTTTTTTTAAATAATAAATATGTCTTCATTTTAACATATAACTGTAAAATAAAACATATGAATCATTTAAGGTAGATGAAATAAATTATTTATAATTTTTTGGGGAAATTAAATTTTAATTATTCATTTCAGTTTTTATAATTATAATTTTCTATTTTCCATTAACTTTGTTGGGAAATTTTATTGATTTAGCATTTTTATAATAATAACTATTTTTTTTTCAAATAATAACTATGCTTTATTTTAGCATATAATTATGTGTAAAATAAAATATATAAATCATTCAAGGTTGATGAAATATATTATTTTATAATTTTTAGTTTTATTAATTTTTTTGGAAAACTTAAATCTTAAATTATTTATTTCAGTTTTTATAGCTATATTTTTTAATTTTTATTAAAGACGAAAAACAATCCAAAAGCAGTCAATATACAATTGTGTCAAACTAGGCACAAATGTGCTTCCATATTGGTGCATATCGGACCGTATCCACTAATATAGTGCGATATGGCTTGATGCAGAGGTGTATCATGCGGACACACACAACTCATGGAATATGTACCCATTTGTGGCTTATCTCATATCCATGACCATGGATGCGGATACTCCCAATATCAATACTTTAATCCTTGCCTTTAATTAGTCAAACAGTTCTAATTTCCTTACTTAAAAGAACCATAGCTTCCTAAACACATTGAAAAGACAACAATGTTTTCTTCAATATATTTAAGATCTGTACCCCCTCTTCAATTCATTCTTTATTATATGGTTTTGTTCTTACAACAGAGTCCAGTTGGCCGTAACTACTTAGATTCTTTCGGTTAGGTGATTGAGGGAGTAAGCTGGCATGGCTTCCTTCTAGAATACACCTTTTGTATTGGTTTAGTTGTGCTGTCCTTACTCGAACAATCTGGAATTGGAAGCCTAACAGTTACCTTTTACCAACCCCAAAATATATTTAGGTTATTAAAAAGTTTGGTAGGCTATGGCTCTAGGAGTTACATATATTTGTGTGTGCATCCAATTTGTGCCATCTACCAAGTAGGCAACCCTCTTGACTGACCACATGTTCAATACTCCCATCCACATGAGCCTTGTGCTTCACCTTCTATCAGTGTTTTTGACAATTGATGTTGTTCTTTGTGAGTTCAATATTTTAATATTAAAATTGTCCTAAAGGTTTGGTTTCTTTTGACCAAATGACAGTTTTTTGGGGAATCTTCATTTACCCCCACTGTACAAATTTTTACTTCACCGTAACAGTGACATTGGGGGGAATTAATGCCAACACAAGGAGGGGGGGGGGGGTATGGTGTCATATGTGGGAGTGTTGTAAGTTTTAAATTGTTGTGTGCACAGTGAAGTAAAAATTTGTGGATTGGGTTTCAGTCAGATTTCCCCTTTTCTTTTCTGTGGTGAGAACTGTGGAACCATTTTGAGTCCCAAACCAATTTGCCACATGGAAGATTTCTTGGTCATTCACCCTCCTTAATGGCTTGAGTAGCAGAACCACCCCCAAATTAAATATGTTATACATCTCCTATATATCTTGGCATGAAGCGATGATTTCTTAAATAAAAAAGAACTGTTATATTCAATCAGATAAATAGTAGCTGAATATTAACTAGATATCCATAGAAGGATTTTAGTCTTAGAATGGTAATGAGATGAGGTAATTGGAAAACATGCTCCTGTAAGTTGTAATAGTCATTCAAGCAAAAAAGTAAATAAGCTGGAAAAGTTGGTAAGGTATCTGGCTGGTTGTAGTGGAGACTTGAGATCAAATCCCACTTGCACAAAGGTTTGGGCGGGGGGGTTATGGGTTTGGGGGTTTTGACATGTTGACCTTAGGTCAAATACCATATGTGTTTAGATGATAACAAACTCATCACAAGAGGTTTGATCTAATTGAACATTTAGTCTTTGTATCCATTATAAACTCAAGAAGTTTGGAGTATATTCATGATGGTCTGCAGGAGAATATGCTCTTGTGAAAATCATTGACGATCAAGCAATTCAAATGTGCTGCAAGTGGTTCATAATCTAGAGGCTTGCAAGAGAAGGAAGAAAGGAGTGTTGCTTGTTCAAGCTTCAACGAAGAGCAAGCTAAGTGCAAGAAAAAAAAGAAAGATTTCTGAATTCAAGCCTTGCAGCCTTATGCAATTTAAGTTGCAAAAATTCATTGTTCAAGTGCTACAAAAAGTTAATCATCCTAAAGGCCATCAAGAGAAGAAGAAATGTTTCTACTCAAGAAATAAAGTGTCCAAGCCAAAAAGAAGAGCAAGTAGAAGTGCTGAAATGTTAAATTCGGCTTCTTAGAGTATTCCGTGTAAGTCAACACAAATGCATGAATTAAGGGATCAAGAAGGGTTAAATCGAACATTAGGAGGTTTCTCTAATTTCCCTTGACCTTGGAAAATAGTTGGATTGGGCTTAGAAATGATTTGGAATGGTTTTGTCAAAGAAAATTTGAATTTCCAAGTTCAGGTTGTCAGGAAATGAGTTCTGATCACGAGGGGATGACTCATTCACTAAAATTTCATCAACAAAAATAAGATGTTCCCTGCCCAGGAGGAGATGACTCCCCTGTTTTAACGATCAATTTTAAATGATTCAAAAGTGCATTTAATACCTAGTTTTTTGCTCCAACAATCACCGAAGAACCTCTACAATAAAAACCCAAATTGACCAAATTGGAAAAGGACTTTTTGAATTTCAATCTTTGAAAATGAAAAAAAAGGACAGACAGGGGAAATTTTTGGAAGAGCTTCAGTCCAAAACCTTGAGAAATCTTTTGAAGCTCTTTACTTCCTATGCTAAAATTAGTTGATTTAATGAGCTTGTGCCAAAAGCCCTTTGGGATCATTTGAAACTCCTTATCCCCTAGGTAGAATCAGGTTGCAAGAGAGAGCTTGCACCAAAATATGATGAGATCTTGTGAAGCTCCATAAGCCTTAAGGCTATGTTTGGTTTGAAGGAAAAGGTAGGGTAAGGAAAAGAAAGACAGGGAAACCAATACAAGGTTTGTAAAGGTTTCCCTAACTTTCCCTTCCTTTCCCTACATTTTCCTTCAAACCAAACATGGCCTAGAGAGAGAGAGAGAGAGAGAGAGATTTTTGGAAGCTCCTTGAAGCCCAAGCCTCTTGCATTTGTTGCTAAATAGGTTTGAGCTACAATGGTAATATCTATTCTTGAAGGGATTTTACTTGCACTTTAATTGTTGTATCATGTCATTTAGGGCCACGTAATGTTCTTTAACATTTTTATCATTTGATGTAAAGTGGTGAGACCAACTTCATTACGTTTGATCAGGTGTAACTGTCACCTTCATAATTAATTAGTTGTGAGTCCTTGGTGAAGGACAGAGCAGTGTCTGCGAGTGAGAAGGGTGGAGTAGTGGTACAGGTTTTGTTAGTATGAAATTAGGTGGTGTAAGGGTCTGATCAGTGCCTATGATGTGAAACAGATCAGTTGGTGGAAATAATCAAGGGGGTTCCTTGGGGAGTGGATGTAGTTCAGGTAGGCTGAACCACTATAAATTGTAGCGTGCTTAGTGATGATTAATTGTTTAAGATTCACCTAGGAAATTGAAAGATCTCAACAAGCTCACTATCTTGACCAGTTCTGCTCTTAAAAGTAGTTTGATTCAATATTGCTATCACTGTTGTCAAGAGTGATGGAATTTTTTTTTTCTGATATCATTTGAAGGGCTACAAAACGGGGGTAGCCCATCCCCCAACCCAGGCGCAGGCGGGATTCAATCCCAAGTCTCTGCTATAACCAGCAGACCAGCAGGAGACCTTACCAACCAGCTGGTTGGTAAGGTTCAAGTTTAAAAATGAAAACAAGACCAAGGATAGGTAACAACCCAATTCACCCCCTCTTGAGTTGTCTTTCTAGGCAACAGGGGATGGCATACCCCCCATTGTGTAGGCTCATGGAACCAAAAAAACAGAAAAAAATAAATAAGCCAACCATAGAAAGGTGTAAAAATGGTACATGATAAGTACTAAGCTTGTTGCATCCAATAGGATGAGTTGGGTAAATTAGATATACTTCTAACACTGCAAAAGAAGCAACTAAGTGACTAATGTAAAAGAATTAATTTTATCCAAAGATTGAATGCTCGTGGGGCTTAGATAAAAATAACTAACATAACAATATGACACTTAAAGAAAATGCTGATGTTAAGACAACTCAAGTTCATTATTTTATTTACAATTCATACTTGCATGCCAAATATGTCAGACTCCCTAATTTTGATTTTGGACCTTCAAAAACCTTTTTTTTTGTTTATAGTAAAATAAAATTTATTAAAAGAAAAAGAAGGTATACTAGTGGTATACAGGTTTTGCAGCCCAAGAATCACAACAGATACACCTCTAACAATGAAAAACACAACATTAACCCCAAAAAGACCTTTCAAAAAAAAAAAAAAACCCAAAAAGATATCACTAACTACAGGTGTTCAGAAACTCTTGCAATTCTAAACGACTTAAAAATATGAAGACAAAGAATCCCTGAAAGCTTGGACTAAATACAACTATCTAACAACACTAGATGACTACCTCAAATAGAAGCTCTACAAAGATAAAAAAAAAACATATTTCATTGACCCAAAAAAAAGTTCACATGACATTTGCAAGGTATAAAAAGGGTCTCCCCTTTACATAAATTTCAGAGCATTAAAAAGGCAGGGAAAACTCTCTCTCTCTCTCTCTAGTCTCTATATATTTCTTGTCCAAGAAGCCCCCACCTTGGAAAATTATCAATGAACATAAGAAATTCTTGAAATATCCCACCACCCAAAATAAAAGAGAATGAGATTTTGAATCAATGTTTAGTCAGTTTTCTGTCTCATGGCAGTTCTAATAGTCCATATTTCTTTTTCTTCTCCTACTTTCATGCCAAATGTCGGTAAATCATCTGCTTGAACTGAACAAATCACCTTCAACTGTTAGAGATGGCTACTGCTTCCTTCTTGTAATCCTTAGACTGTCAATAATGTCATGGTCTAGACAGTTCTACTGTTTTGATGTCTCAGAACCCCAGACAATTCTCCTGTCATGATGTCTAAAGGAGATGCCATCAAACATTAATCTGAATTCAACAAGGGCCTCCTAAAGGCACTTTATATCTTGATAGGAGGAGGAAGAAACAAATAAGAAATCACAAGTCTCTCCCTATATTCTTATCACTAAAAAGAGGAAAAAGAATAAAAGAAAGAAGACAACCAATCATTCATCAAAAAAAAACAAAACAAAACAAAAGAAGACAACCAATCCACTCCAAGTATCTTAACATCTTTTTGCAGGATGATCTATGTAAATCTGAAATCATTCACATCTTTTACAAATTCCCAAGTTTCTAATTGTCCCCAAAATAAATATTTACAGGTAAATAGGACAGTTGCACCCCTATTATGCAATAAACATTTGAATGGGCTTGTGGATTAGTTAAACACAGTAATAAGAGAGAATGAAAAAGAAACTACATACAGTAGATAGTTTGTTTAGAACACCATCTATTTGAGCAAAGTAGGCTTCTAAAAGCATCTCCAGTTCTTCAATGTTTGGCTTAAAACCAGAGGAGCTGTCACTGCCATTTTCAGTCCTAGAGTCTTCAGCCCTGAAAATGACAAAAAGCATAACGAAAAATAAGTAATTCCAGTAAGAAATGTTAATTTTTCTATGAGATTTTCACAAGCAATCTCTATGGTACTATCCTGAATTCAGCAAGTATAGTTTTCATCACTGGGATGATGTTTGGTATCAACGGCGTTTTTTGGACCGCTGACACCAGCTCAGCACCATATAGGCATTTAACAGAAAACACCAAAAATGATGGTTGGTTGAGCCGTTTAATTGATAAACGTGTCTTGATTTATGTGAGAGCTGTTTATCAGAAAAGTGCCATAAATGATGCTTTTCATTTTCAGGGGCATTTTTTTTACTGTGGCTTATATGGCACCTAATGGCATCTAGTTGTGCCTAGAGCCACTGAGTTATCAAAAAATGTTTAAAGCAGATTTTGTCCCAATTTTCGAGACAAAATTGTACAAAACACTTATTAGATAAACGGCATCAATACCAAAACGTCCTAGTTAACACAAACCATGGCCTGGACAAATATGCTGGTTTATAGGATCCTTTAATATCCATGTTGTAATGGTTGATCAAGTCATTACGCCTCTTTATTCTTATGTTATTTGTTGTATTGCTGGGTTGGGCCAGAAGCTATTGTGCCTAAACTATTTTTATTTAGTGTTAACTGTGCCCTAACTAACCTGGGGTACAATTGTATTTTCACTTTCTTTTATTCTTTTAATATAAAAGCTTCTTTAGGGCCTGCTGAGAACACTTTTGCTGCCCATCTAGTCTGCTCTCTCTTATTTCTTTGGATAAAATATAAAAACCTCCATTGAAGTTTCTGACAATCATAATAACCTTCTCTGAGGTTTCACTTTAACAGAAAACCTCCCCTGTAGCATAGCTTTTAAGGCGCCAAGGCGACGGGGGCGCTTTGAACCATGGGTTCAACACAGCAGTTAACAATGTTTGTGTTGATTAAGGTGTCACCTTGACAACTATGCCCTGTAGTTCCACAAAAACCTGCAGTTACCCCCCTTCCATCTTTGTCCCAGTAATGGAGACTTTAAATTTACAAGTGACCCTTACAACTTATTAGGGCATCTTTCAATATAATTCGAAATGCCAAATTTACCCTTCTAGACTTCACTAGACCCAATGTTTTTAAAGAGAAAATTATTTTATTCTTTTCAATCTGACTTAAAGAGATTTTTTTTTTTTAATTAAAAGAGAAAAGTTCTTTTGGTGGTATTTTAATAAACTTTCTTCTGATATAAGGGTAAAATGTGTACTTTTGAAAAACTAATGCATTGAGCCAATGTTTTCCATCCAAGACAACAACTAAAACTGCAGGTTTTTTCAATACTACAGGGGAGACTTTTGTAAAAGTAAAATATCAGGGGAGGTTCTTATGATTGACAGAAACATCAGTGGATGTTTTCATATTTTACCCTATTTCTTTCTTCCTTTTGCTCTAAACCTTAACGCAGGTAAGAATACATGGTATCACAACACTAAACCAAGAATACTTGGTTCAACCTACTCTCTTTCTTCTTCTATCTTCTATTCTTTTTTAGACACTGATTAAGAAGGCCAAGATCTGTTTGTTGTGAAGATTCTTAGCCAAGAGAAGAGAAAGAATGGGTGGTAACTACTACTCTCCAGCTCCTTGATGTTATTTAAATGAAAATACTACAAAAAATACAAGGATCGACAAGTATGCCCCTGCTTAGGTGGCACCAAGATACAAACATTAAGGATTGACAAGTATGCCCTAGTAATCACTAGTGATTACTGGGGGCTCAACACCTATTTAGGTGGCACCGAGATTACTGAGCCATTTGCATTATACTTCATTGTGAGCACCCATTTACACCCAATTGGCTTCTTTCCTTCTGGCTGATCAACCAATTCCCATGTCTTATTCTTGATAAGTGCATTCATATCCTCCCTCATTGCATTCTTCCACTTAGGCACAAACAGAGCTTCCTGCACAGTCTTAGGAATGGATATAGCAAAAAATGATGCCAAATAGGTTTTATATGACGGTGAAAGATGGTCATAGGAAAGAAACTAAGATATGCAATGGTAGCGGAGGTAGCGCATCTCCGCTTTCCCTTGCGAGCTGCAATAGGAAGGTCAAGGTCATAGAGGCTTTGTGGTGGAAGATATAGGGTCGGAGGTGCAGGTGATGTTGTGGCATCTGAATCTAGCATCACAGAGGAGATTGTAACGGGCTTGGGCTACTCATGAGAACCAAAATCAACTTGCCTCCACCGTCTGAGAAACCTACAACTCCTTAAATTTCTAACTATCACCTTCATTACATAACTCCCTTTCAAGAACAAGAATGAGCATGGGAACTTCAGGAGCAAAACATCCTTTTTTTTATCAGTAAAAAAGTATTTTATTAAAATTCAGATTGTAAGCAGTTTATACAACTTGGTGATGGGACTGTTGATCCCTTTTAATCACTCTATYCTACCCCTCATTACAGTGCAGCCCAAAATAATTGCTGTCTCAATGCCCCCTGTTTGGCTAATCCATCAGCTAGCCCATTTGCACTTCAGACCCATTTAAATTCAGCCTCAACCTCCTTTGCAATTTTCTTCACTTCCCTAATCACATGTTTAAACTTCCATGGGGTATGGCTGCTATTTGTTGCCCATGAAATTACTACTTTTGAGCCTCCCTCCACTTCAACATGTCTACATCCTAGTTGTTTGGCTAGCTTTAACCCTTGTAGTAATGTCAATAGTTCAGCCTTCAGCAAGTTTCCATTGCCAATCGGTCCTAAGAACATACCCAATATCCTTCTGTCAGAGTTTCTTAATACTCCTATTCCTGAGATGCTTGGATTTCCAAACAAGCACCCATCAAAATTCAGCTTTACTTTATTGCCTTCTGGTGGCTTCCACTCCAGCCTTACTATATCTCTTACTCTCGAAGATTGTGCTACTTTGGACCATGTTCTTAGAATGTCTGCGACTGAGAAGACTTGAAAGCTATCCAAGGGCTTTACCCAATGGGCTACTTTCACCTTGATACTATCAATCACTTCCTCTATTGTTCTACTTTTTTCCAAGAAAATTCTGTTGTTCCTCTCTTCCCATGTTACCCAGCAAATTGCTGCCTTTGTTGCTTTCCACATTATCATCCCTCTTTTCTTTCGCTCAAGAAATCATGGTTGAAGAGTCCTACCACATTTTGAGGGGGAACCCACTTACAACCAAAGAGAGTACAAAAGAATTCCCAAATTCGATGCAAAAAAGAACAGGATATCATTAAATGAGTAAAGGTCTCACCACTTCCCTTACACAATGAACACACATGAGAAAGGCAAATATATGGCCTTCTTTTCTGTAGCATATTACAAGTGTTTACCTTACCAAGGAATATTTTCCAGTAGATGGCTTGGATCTTCGGGGGAATAGGCTTGCACCAAATTTCTTTCACAAGGAAAACCCCACCTAGAAGGTTGGGGGAAGCAAGTACTTTGAAGAAAGAGGAGCAAGAAAAGAGGCCATTTGGAGAGCCTACCCAGATTCTAGAGTCTTCCAACGAAGGGTCCAAGTGGATTTTACCTAGGAGGTCTAGCAATCAAATTAAAGATTCACACTCATTTTCCCTTAGTCCCCTTCTAAAGCCCAAATTCTAGTTAACACCGTTTGGACACGATGATCGCAACATGGATATAGCTTCCCCCTTAAGATTAGATAGCGCAAATGGATCAGGGAATTGGTCTTTTAGTGGGGTTTCCCCTATCCAAAGATCTTCCCAAAACAAAATTCTAGTACCTTGTCCCACATCGAACCTGATGGAATTGAGGAAAGTAGGGTAGATTTCATGGATTGCTTTCCAAGGAGAAGTTGAAGAACTGTGAGGGGAAACTTTTGCATCGCAGCCATTTCCAGCCACCCCATGAATGCTCTCAATCACTTTGGGCCACAATCTGTCGCTCTCGAAGGGAAACCTCCAAAGCCACTTACCTAGTAGATCTGTCGCCCAATTCCTAAACGCCCTTGTTCCTTCGGTTTACTAACCTGGTCCCACTTGATCAAGTGGTCCTTCCTATCAAGGTTATTCTTCCAAAGTGATAACTTCCTATCAAACTTTTCTAAAACTGGTTTCCAGAACCCAACTGACTTGGGATTTCCTCCTAAGGGTAAATCTAGGTAACTAATAGGCCAGCTTCTGATCTTGCACCCCAAGATCTCCGCAAATCTTATTAGTTCTCCTTCCTCCAAATTGACCCCTACAGTTCCACTTTTGGTCCAATTTATCCTCAGCCTGTTACTTCCACAAAATTATTCAACATCCTCAAATTTTCCACCACTTCCTCATTGTTTCCTTCACAAAAAAAATATGGTGTCATCTGCAAATTGGAGATGGGTAACAATCACTCAATTTCTACCTACCCTCCAACCTTTGATAAGGCCTTGAGCATCAACTTTTGCCACCATTCTACTCAACACTTCTGCCACTAGGGTAAACAAGAATGGGGATAGGGGGTCACCTTGCCTAATTCCTCTCCTGGCCGGGAAGAAATCCTTTGTTGTACCATTGATTAGAATTGAGTAATGAGCTGAACTTAAACATCCTTTGATCCAAGCCCTCCATCTATCTCCAAATCCAGTCATTCTAATACTTTTAGAAGGACTTCCCAATTAACCAAGTCGAAGGCTTTTTCTAGATCTACATTACAAACCAGCCCCTTTTCTCTACCCTTTCTCTTTCCTCGACGCATTCATTAGCCACCAAGATTTGATCCACAATCTACCTTCCTTCTACAAAAGCTCTTTGGAAAGGAGAGATGATCGAGGCTAACACCTTTTTTAGTCTTTCTGCTAAGACCTTTGATAGAATTTTGTAAACACTCCCATTGAGACATATTGGTCTAAAGTCTTTAGGAGTTTTGGCCTCCCTCTTCTTTGGAATCAAAGTGATAAATGTGGCATTTGCTCCTAGTGATACCTACCCTTTGGAGAAAATTTCATTAAAGACTTCCAAGATGTCTGGTTTCACCATATCCCAACACAC